CTTCGTGGCCTTCATACATTCATGAATTACATGTAATGTACTTGTGGGGGCGAAAGTCTAGGATGGATCTATTCTATTATTATCTGATGGTAATTCTCTATGTCTACTCTTCGTTGCTAACCTCTTTTGTTTCAAATTGTTTAAATAATAAAATGTGTGCCAGGGTCTGCAGTTATGTGACGATGCGAACTTCGTTCTTCCAGCTTCAAAAGAGTGACAATAATGATCGTTTTTGAGCAGTTGAGGGCAATATACTCGTACTAGGACGGTATTGTGGTCAGGTACATCCATGCAGGGCCGTGATTACGGTCAGATACATTGAAGATTGTGCTAGTTTGAGTATGCTCTGAGGAGCTGCGATTGGCTGGTGGTCACTTTCCTGTGTGACTCCATTTGTGAGCGCAACAGTTTTCTTTTGTTGCCATTTATTTCATTTGTAGTAAATTTACCTGTCCGTCTTTTGTGACGGAAGACAAATGCAAAAATTGCGGAGACAAATGCAAACATTGCTGTGGTTCATTGAAAAAATAATGGGTGTACTCTACTGCACTCTACTCTATATGTTTATGAGCCATGTGATGAGTCGTTTGCTCTCGTAGATGCACTGCTAGCAGATGAAGTTCACCTGCCGGATCATCTACTCTCTACTCTACTCCATATTCTCTGCTCTCTACTCTCTGCTCTCTACTTTCTATTCTTTACTCCTCTACTCTGTACTTTACTCTGTACTCTGTACTCTGTACTCCCTACGGTCTACTTTCTAATTTCTACTCTCCTCTCCACTCCTCTGTACTGTACTCTCTATTCCACTTCCAACTGTCTTCTCTACTCTATTTTACTTTCAACTCTCTACTCTACCCTACACTGCTTTCCACTCTCTACTCTACTGCTATGGAACTGATTGAATCTCAATCCCAACCAGCTCACGTGTTCCCATTGACGTATGCAATTATGAAGCAGACTGGGAGAAGGCAAATTCAAACAAAACCGGAGAGAGCTACACTGCGGAAGCTCAATATCCAAAAATAGAATTGAAGTGAAACTTCACTTCTTGTTCCCTCTTCCATCTCCAACCAAACAGATTACAACTCTCCCAGAATCTCAAACCTGTTTTGACAACAAAGTTTTTTTTTTTTTTTTTTTAATTTATTTATTTATTTTAACAGGTCCTTATGGTCCTGGCTCCTTTTCTGGGAGCGTCCGTCCGGTTCCTATTCCCCCGGCAAGTCAAAGTTGAATACGGCATAGTACACGGCGCTCACGCTTCCTTCCGTATGGCTGAAGGATCCCTGTCCAGCCTTGATTACTCCCATGTAGGAGGATTGACTGTCAGCTTGCCCTATCCACTTTGTTCCTCTCAGGCTCTCCTCCAGGGCCTGTGAGATAGTCCTATGCAGAGCAAGAAAAGTGAAAGGATCCG